TCATAATAATTAGTATATTTATAATATCATATAAATGATATGAAAAAAATTAATATAAAATATCAACTCATTGAACAGTTCGCCAGATCGCCGAGCCAGACTTACGTGTTCAATGAACTCTACTTCGTTAGGCTCGTTTTTTAACGAACTGGAAAAATTATGGTTTAGATCGCTCGTTTTCTGATGAATCACGAGACCCTAGTGATATATGTATTTGTACGATCACAGAATTACTCAAATAATATATCGATTTATTTTACTACTATCAACATTTTTTCTAAATCATCTTTTTTTTTTTTACCGATGAAAAATATCGGCTCCGTCAAATTTGGCCCAAAAGTACATTTCTTTCTTAATGGGCCAAGGTAATGTCCGTTGTAGATATGGGCTCTTGAATATTATATTCCATATAAAACACTGAAAATCCGAAATCGAATTTTCTTGCAATAGCAAAATCGGACCGTTATGACCCCGGTTTGCTCAACCGTTATTACTTATTTAGTTGTCCAATTTCATCTTCTTCTCTTTCTTAAACCCTAGAAAAACCACCGGAGCTCGCGCGATCATGGCGGCTGCGGAAGCAGGTCAGCAAAAGAGAGCCGAAGAAAACGACGAACTCACGATCAAAGATGGAGATACAGACATCTGCCAACAGCTCATGGACCGTTACGCCAAATCCTCCGCCGCGCAGCACGGCCACCTCGTCGCCACCGCCGCCGCAATGCGCTCTATCCTAGTCGCAGAGTCTCTGCCTTCGACGCCTCCGGCGTACTTCGCTGCCGCGATATCCTCCGCGGATTCCACCGTGAACTCACCGGCGACGGATCCTGTGGCGGTTTCTGCTCTGCTTACCTTTCTGTCCATAGTTGTCCCTCTGGTTCCTTCCGGGGAGATTTCAACGGAAAAGGCCCGAGAAGCTGTGACAGTACTGGTGAGCCTTATTGATAGAGACGAAGAGAAGTTAGGTGTGGCGAGCTTGAGAGGTGGTGTGAAATGTATCGGGACGTTGCTAATTGGCTTCTGTAATTTGGATGATTGGGAAAGTCTTGATTTAGGTTTTGCTTCTCTTCTCAAATTCGCCGTTGATAAGCGGCCCAAGGTATTACTTCTCTGTTAAGCGATTTTGTATTAGATTGATACATCACAACTGCCCATAGCCTAGCTGTTTTCGTCATTGCGATTTTTTTTCGATTTTTTTTTCATTGAAGTGTTGGGTTTATATCTCTGCAACTTTTTAGATGAAAAAGAAAAATCTTACCTTCAGTTCAATCCTATGATCACGGTGACATTGCTACTGGAAAACCGTCAGTAGATCTAGTTTTGAGGTTACAGAGGAGTTATGGAGCCGTTTTTCTTTTGCTATAATAACTACTTATAAGTGATAAAGTGAAATTTTGTGGGTTGTTTTGGATATCTGACCATGTTTCATGGTTGCAAGAAATGATAGTGTGATAAAAATCTAATATTGGTCGAATGTATTGCGTTTGTTTTAGGTCAGAAGATGTGCCCAAGAGTGTCTGGAGAAGATACTCGGCTCTCTGCAATCATCTACTGTTATCAAGGAGGCAAGTAATACAGTGTACGCCTCATTCAAAGAGTATAAACCTGTTCTAGCCGAATTAAGCTCTTCAAGGATCGATGAAGGTTCTAAGGTTGATTTGTCATTGAAAACCCAAAACGCAGAGGCTGTCTATGTGTTAAATGTGCTCGGTGTTGCAATTCCATTTATCTCTTCCAAACTTAGGTCAAGAGCTTTTTCAGAACTATGCAATCTTATGGCTTCTCAGTTTTCACTGCTAACGAGGCAAATCCTCAAAGCCATGGAGGTTTTCTTTGCGAATTCAAGAGATGAGATTAGTGTCCCTGAGATAGAGAGCATCATAACTTCACTCACTGGTTATTTATCTTCACACGACAAGAATCCCTCAGACACTGTCGTGCAAGCGACCATCCTTTTAAGAAGTGCTTTGGAGAAACTCCACTTGGTGGATTCCAAATTGTGCCTGAAGAAGCTTCCACTAGTTTTTGGTGATTTGGCAGGTATATCTCTCATCTTCCTCAATATTCACTATCTACTGTATTTTTATTCTTCCTGGTGGCTTGGATTTTGCTTTTATTTCATCTATTTTGATATTTTCTAACCTTTTATTTCCTGTGCTTTAGGTCTTCTTACTTCGAATGATGACACTGCATCTCAAGCCTTGGATGTATTAAAAGACCTGATCAATCGCCATGTAGATAAAGATATTGTTGAGGGATGTCTGCCATTTGAAGGTGAAGAAAATGTTGCAGATGGCAACAAAATTGGTGCAACAAAATCTGTATGTGCTGTCTTTGAGAGTATCCTGGATTCATGTGATGCAATTCCAAATGAGCGCATTTTAGATGTAACAGCTATTTTGATCGATAAACTTGGTAGGTAATGTTCACTCTGTTTCTATGTTTTTGCAGCCTTATCACCTTAGCTAGTCTTTGAGCATTATTCATTATTGGCAGACAAATTTTCATATACCCAACCATGTAACTAAAGTCAGCGTGAGTGAATAACTCAACATTAAAGAAGTGTTCGTTTGAATCTTCGATTTTGCAGGGGAGCTTTCGTATGTCCTTATGAGGAATATAGTACTTAAACTCGCCAGCTTGATGACGAGTGCTACAGGGGATGCTTGTAGCTTAAAACATGTAGGTCTTCATTCAATTCTCTCATTTCTCTTTTCCTCAGTTTAATTTTTGTATGTATTAAAGTTTGGACAGAAAGGGTAAGACCTATATTTAGAAATTTTGCATCATGTCTCTGAATTCTGATTGATGCTATATTTGACTTGATCTACAGCTTCAGCATTGCATTGGGTCTGCAGTGGTTGCAATGGGGCCAGAGAAAATATTAGAACTTCTGCCTATCTCTATTTGTGCTGATAATCGTTCTTGTACAAATAGCTGGTTAATCCCCATCTTAAAAAGATATATTGTTGGAGCATCGCTCGGGTATTATATTGAGCATATTGTTCCTCTTTCAAAATCCATTCTGCAAACTTCTAGGAAAGGTGCTTTCTTCCATCATAAATTTTCCTTTCCTTTTCTTTTTTTAAATATACATTCGGTGCTCTTCATTTTTACTAACATAGATTGCCTAAAAGCTTGATTAAAAGGAGTAGATTGTGTCCATCTTCTCCGTTCTTGTATATCTGGGTTTGAAATGCTTCACAGATTTGAATTTGCATCTTCAACTTCTAGCTTTCCTCCGCCCAGTGAAATGGTTATCGTAAAGGTCATAAAGTTGATTGTCTCGTAAAATATATACTAGGATTAATTCTTTTGTGCTTGTTTTTTCAGCTCACAGAAAGAAGTTGCAGGCCTGTTCTCATGAGCTCATGGAATTGTTACCTGCCTTTTGCAACTATCCTGTTGATGTAGCCCAAAACTTTGGATCTTTAGCTAAACTTTTGGTGAAATTTATCAATAAGTACCCTTTCATGAATGAAGCCATTACCCTCTCCTTACAGGTGAGTTACCTCTTTGTCTAGGCTTATTTTACATCATAGTGGTTTGCACTAGCAAAGTGGCTGACTCTTTGCCTAAATTTTTCATGCATAAGGACTATCGGGAGGTCTCGTTTATTGTTTTTTATTTTTTTTGCCTTGTTCAGAGGCTTGTAAATCAAAACAAAAGTAAGCTTAGGCCCAAGATAAACCCGGGTGAGGCAAAAACCTGTCCGGGTGAAGATAATACATCAGAGCTTGAAAGTGAAAATCGTTACTCGAAGAAGACATCAACTAAAAACATCAAGGCTTTGGCATCATGCTCAGCTGAGTTGCTTCAATCTCTTGTAGATATGTTCACTGGTTTAGGGACAGAGGTCAGTTCTGACTTTAAGGTAAACTTTCTTCATATCTTCTGCAATTTCAAGTTATATAATTAAATTCGATTAAAGTCTTCCCTTTCCTGTGATTCTTGAAGAAATCAACTGTGATAGGAGACATTCAAGCTATTTGTTTGTTAAGGAAATAGCTTTCTATTTCTGAAGTCTGCTTAACTCCTGGTTTTTCTCAAAGACAATAAAACATCCAGATTGCTTTAGCCTTTAGCTTTGTTTCCCGCTCAAGCAACAACTGAGACTTCAATTGCATAAAGCTGTCCCTAATTGTATAAACCTGGAAAGAAATAAAACTCTTGTGTTTTTGTTGCTGAATTTAACAGTGCTAGTTGACTCTGTGACTTCTTATTTTCTTTTCAATTTTCTCTAGTTTCTTTTTGTTTTCTAGTGCGTTGAAGCATACTGGGATTTTATTTTTGGGCTTGTGAATTTATTCTGCATTTGGTTAACATGGTTTACTTTACACTAAGAATGTGAACTTTTGTTTTTGTTTTTTTTTGCTGAATATCTGAAAATATTATATCCACCACGCTCATCATATCAGACCGCAACTGGATGCTTGGCTTCTATTGTGGATTCTTCAGTGAGGAAACAGATTCTAACGTCTTTGCTTGAGAAGCTTGACACCATTGATGATGAAAGCGAAAACGAAAGGCAGGTCAACGTATCTGATGAATCGTTTGATGAAGAAAAAGATAACCCCAGTGGTACAAAGACACATTTAAAGAGGTAAAGTTCTAGATATATGATTGTGCCACTCAAATTTGTCTTCACCTTTTACTTCTTTGGACACACTTAGTTGCTTGAATATCTTTAGGAATCGTGATAACATGACAATCGGCTGCAGGAGCTCTGTGTTGGCAGTTGCAATTACATTTGTTGAAGGAGCCAATGAAGATCTTATCGAGTTAATCTATAATCTTGTTCGGCAAACTTTTGAGGTATCTTATTAAACTCAGGCCAACAGTTATATGATCTTAAATTGTCTAAAGTTTTCCGGGGTAGAAACTGATCTGTAAGTTGTTGGATTTAGGCCACTGACGAAGTTGATCATTGTGAAGCATACCACACTCTGAGCAGAGTTCTGGAGGTCAGTCATGATAATCCAAGCTTAATGTATTTACTTAGTTTGTGTACTTGTCCTGTGCTTATTTCTCTGGCTTTGCTCCCCCCCCCCCCCCCTCTCTGGTGCAGGAACATGAGTGGTTTTGTTCTTCACATTTTGCGGAGCTGATGGAAATGTTACTCAGCCGTAAATCACCAGATGATGCAGGATCTCTCAGAAGTCGATTTACATGTTTCCATGTTCTAATGGTTCATGCGCTTCAGGTTAAAATATTCTCTTGTTCCCGATTTAAACTAAAATTGGTATGCCGTTATTGTGGATGAAAATATATATACGTTGACAAAAATTTCGGTATTAGTTTTCGTTGGAACAGAACTGGGATTTTAGTTGGAATTCTAATAAGCAATCACAGATGCCCACTTATTCGATAAGAGTAGAATCCAACTTTTGCTGTGTGTTCAAATTGCTCGACCTCTTTTATCACCGTAACTCTTAACACATTGTCTTCTTCTTGCAGTTGACTGCCGAGGAAGAGAATGAAAAGGCTTTCCCCATTCTGAACGAGATAATCCTTGCCCTTAAAGATGTAAGAAGAGTTTTTATATATATTCCATATAAGAATTTGATTCCTTTTTTATTTTTTCTGATTGCTGTCCGTTTGCCCTGTATGAATATGATGAACCTTAGTCTTACTGCTATTTTTTCCGAAGCTAAAAAAATCTATGATCACTCACCTCTCCTGAGAATCTAACATTATTAAAACGTTTTTACATATCTTACCTATATGAATAAAAAGGGGAAAGAAGAAAGCAGAAAAACAGCTTGTGATGTACTGGTTATGGTATATACCAGTCTGAAAAGTAAGTCCTGTCTCTCCGGTGATGAACTCTGCCCCAAACTGATCAACATGGTAAGCTCATAATGGATTCCTTTAATGATTGTGGTCTGCCTTAATTATCTCTCAAATCACTGATTATTTTCCTTCGATTGTTCAGATAATGGGATATATCTCTGCATCATCTCCGCACATAAAGAGCGGAGCAGTGTCTGCACTGTCTATCTTGGTTTACAAAGACCCCGAAATCTGCCTTTCTTCACCCGACCTTCTTTCATCTGTTTTATCTTTGATCCATACCAAGGCCGTCGAGGTTATAAAAGTGAGTCCATTCTTCTCCTTTACTTAGACTTCCATTGGTTGCTGCTTTATATCTTGGTCTTCAGTCTTCTACTTTTTGGCTATTGAAAATTAAAATTGAAAGTAATTTTTGTACTAACTTTAGTGTTTTAAATGGTAATTCATTTTGAGCATACTTTAAGGGGTCAAGCCAGTATGCTACAATTTTCAATCTTAGATATATATCCCATTTTCTTTTATAAAAGAAGATTGATCTTTATGGCGTTGGCATATATACCCCATGTTCTCGTCAGTTTCGGTCACATAACCTGAAGTTCTTTATCTTTTGTTCATTGAAAATTGAGCAGGCGGTTCTGGGTTTTGTGAAAGTTGTAGTATCGACGTTGAACTCAAAGGACTTGCAAAACCTGCTACACGATCTCGTATGGGAAATCCTCCCTTGGTCGTCAGTTTCAAGACATCATTTCAGGTCTAAGGTACAAAAAAAAAAACAATTTACTTAAGAACTCCTTCCTTGTTCTGGTTTGTGGCTTTTCAGCTTAATCCTTTTAAGGATGTGAGTTTCCTATTGACAAATCTTGAATCTATATAGGTTACTGTCATAGTCGAGATTATGATAAGGAAGTGCGGTGCACGAGCAGTTCTATCCGTTGCACCCGAGAAACACAAGGGTTTCGTCAAGACAGTTTCAGAGGTACTTTTTCTTTACTCATTCTTGTTGCTTCATTTCAAGAGTAGAAAAAAAGGGAAATGAATTTGGGCGTGGGCCTATACATAATTTGTTTTACTTCTCGTGAAATCAAGGGGAAAAGGATTAAGATTTTTCGCAATATAGTGATTAAAGTACTGAACTTTTGTTAGAACTAGTTTAAGCTCATCTAGATTTCTAAAAACTAGGGTTCATAGCATAGAAGCTCTTCATTTGAAGCAGTTCTACAACTTCTGGAATACAGTTCTCGGAATCTGAATTAAAATATGTATCTTCTAAAACCTCTATTCGTGTTGTTGTACAAGAATTGGACTTGTCGCATTGGCATTTATGGTTTATCTTCTGTCCTTAAACTGCACAGAACCGC